GAAATCATCATCGATAACATAATATATTTACGCTTCATGCACAACCTAGGAGATAGGTTGTAGATCATCAGGAGAACAGGCCAACAAGTATGGTTAGTACTTAGATTACCAAACGGATTCATTCCATCAGTTGAAAGTCCAAGTCTAAGGTTTCTCGACTCTTTGCCAAAATTTGGAAATAAAACATCTATTTTCTTCCATTGTAAAGAATCAGCTACATGGCAAATTTTTCCATCACACTTTCTTTCTTCTGCATGCCATCTAAGATTCTTTGCGTCATTTGCATTAGCGAATAGTCTCTTGAACCTTGAAATTATTGGTAGGTACCATACCACTTTCGCGGGAGGAACCTTTTTTACCGCCTCATCATCACTAGAATCACCAGCATTCTTTTTGTAGCGGGATGCCTTGCACTTCGGACAATGATTATAGTTTACATACTCTTTTCTGTATAATATGCAATCATTAGGGCATGCATGTATCTTTTCATACTCCAAACCCATCGGACATAATATCTTTTTCGCCTCGTAATAACGATTTGGCATTACGTTACCTTCTGGAAGCATCTGTGTCAACAATTCAAGCAATTCGCTAAAACTTTTGTCAGTCCACCCATTATTTGCCTTCAAATTAAACAATTTTAACACGGCTGACAAACGTGTAAAATTTGTGCATCCCGGATACAAAGGTTTATCCTTGTCACTGCATAAAGTATCATACGCGTGCGCCTTCTTAAACGAATCTTGTCCAATATCACGCATCATGTCTTCCAGACGATCATCCATTTCTGCACTAACATTATCTCTTTGGGACACATTTGACTTTGCTACTACCTCACCGTGCCATATCCATTGTGTATAACTTTGACAAATCCCATGACAAATTAGATGATCCATGATTTCTTTCTTATTGAGTTTTGGTTCGTGATTTGCACAACGAACACATGGACAGAGAAAAAGCAAATGAAGACTTTTTTCAGCATCACTCTTAGGAGGAGCAAGATTTTTTTTAGCATTACTTTCAGCAAGCTCTAGAAATTCCATCACTCCTTGTTCGTACTCGAAACTTAATCGATTGGCTCTCATCCAACTACGATTCATACCTATGTTCCGAAATTATTAATGCATACAGAGTTAAATCATTGGAATGCCTATAATAGTCCCTCTTTTAGACATTAGAGAGAACAAAAAGTATCTATGTGTAAACACATGGCATAAAAGAAGAATTAAGAAGTTATAAAGAATGAAAACAGAACCTGCAATTATGTGGCGGCCGAATGACTTGCGGTTAAGAGAAAAAGAGGGACACAAATCCTGCGAGAAACGAAAAATCAATTTTTATTCCATGAGACACCACTAATTACTCGTAACTTTTACATAAATTACTACTGGTAAATAATTCCATGAGACACCTCTTTTATTTGTAATTATATAGACTAAATTATTTTTAATTATAACTTAATAATTTTAAATTAGTAAATTTTAATTAATATGTCAATATTAAAAATTAATATTCAATTTATAGTCTTTTGTTTCAATTCATTTAAGAAAAAAAAAGGCTATTTTAGAAACTCAATCAATAAAATTAGTTATAATATAATTAATCAATCAAATATAATTAATCAATCATTAATCAATTATTTTTATAATATAATAATATTTAAATGTTTGAATGATTTTATTTTTAATATTACTCCCAATTTAAAGTATGTTAATCAAACATCTTATCACTCCGTTGATAATTCGCTAAATCAGACCAATAGTTAGCAACCCAAAATTAATAATCAATTTTCTAATTATTTTGATGTGTCTCTTAAATGAATTTTATATATGGATGTATCTGTGAACTGAATAAGAAATGTATAAAAAGATATGTTCATGTTGATGTGAAATAAATATTAATTGGATCAAGTAAGAAGGGTGAAGTAAAAGAAAAAACTTGTCTTATCATTTGGAATATAATATATTGGCAACATGTTAAAAGAAGATATGAGAAACGTTAGAAACTGTCTCTGTTTGGTTGATTATAAATAATGAGATTAGGATCCAATGTGACATAAAAATTGAACACACCCATATCCCAACCCAAGTTTATTGTTTTGCATGTGATATTCAAACGTGACCACGTATGTGCCAAAGCCAATGACACAAAACGATACTCTCTGACAGAATGTATTTATCATCTTCAATTTACACATGCCTACCACAAATAACATACACCACCTTCCATTTTTGTCCCTTGAAATACTATATATTCAAATTGTTTATAAATCAAATATCTTTTATAAAATAGTCTATTTAAATAAATGGTTAGTTTAGTTAAGAAATGTAAGTTAGAATTGAAAACAGTTTCACATATTTGACTTGACCAAAGGCATGGCATGTAGCAAGTAGCAAGTAGCAAGGAAACTGAAATCAAGAGAAAGAAAGGTTAAAAGAAATAATAATGTGTCTGTGAATGATACCCCATTACCCTGAAAAGCTCGAATCTCAATTAGTGAATTAGAAGACTCTTTTTTTAACCATATCTATGTGAGGAAAAAGGTACAAGAAAGAGGGTATCATATTCTAAAACTAGCTAAAAAATAAAAAAAAAGTGGGAATAAATAGACTTTGAAATTTGAACAAGAACTGACATGAAGCAGATATAAGGAATAAGTAATGTGTTTAATTTTGTAGTTACACGACCATGAGACTATTGATGCAAAAGCATGAAAAAGTTTTGTTTGGGAGAGTATATATATGAAAAGTGGAATTTCAAAGATTGAAAAAGGGTTGCAAATTTGTCTTAAAGTCTCTTTTTAAAAATATTACACGTTCAACCACGTCTAATGCTTGCCTATTGAATCCAAGAAACCAGCATCCTAAGTGAAAATCAAAATAATTCACTTTCTCTGCCTACAATTTTACTTGTTTCATTTCTTCTTCTTCTTCTTTTTCTAATTAATAATCAATTTTCTACACAGCGGAAAGACTTCACTTCTTTTCCAATTTGCATTCAATGTAGCAGCAGCACTTCACTCTAACTATTCCAACCCAAATGTTGTCTTCATCTGTAACCAAAACAGATTGGATTCCAAACCCCCTTTTCTTTCTCAGGGAATTGACCCATCTTCGAATATCTTCCAACGTATACAAATGAAGTATATACTATATACCATAACCCTTTTTTGTTATCTTTCATTAGTCATCACCAGTTATATATTTACGCTAATTTAATTATTTTTAATATTAATCAAACATTTTTCGGGTCTAAAATAAAGCAACAATGACTATAACCAAAAAACCATATATTCTAAGGAATTTTTATAGATAAATCAACAAAACCTCCCCTAAATCTCAGACGAAAAAACCACAATAGAATCAACAATTTCAACAATTTAATCTTGAACTAACCCTAACCTTTAACGGATATAAGAATAAAAAAATGAAAGAACATAGACATATATGAATTAAAATTAAGGAGTATAGAACCTTAAAATGATGTCAGAATCGAAACCGTGTTCGGATGGTGGTGAGAACGGTGACCGGCGGAGGGAGGGAGAATGGCGGAGGAAGAGAGAACAACGAACGGCGGAGGGGGGAGAACGTCGAACGGTGGAGGTAGGGAGAACGGCGAACGGCGAACGGCGGAGGGGGGAGAACGTCGAACGGTGGAGGTAGGGAGAACGGCGAACGGCGAACGGCGGAGGGGGGAGAACGGCGAACGAAGGGAGGGAGGGAGAACGACGGGTTTGGTGAAGGTTCGTAGTGGGTTTTGGTAAAATGTGCAAGTTTTGGTGAAGAAACAGTATTTGTGGGTTTAGTAGAAATATCCATGTAACTTTTTAAATCGGTGGATTTTACAACCGATTTAAAATCCAATTCATTAATTATCTTTTAAATCGGTGGGTTTTTAAACCGATTTAAAATCTATGTTTTATTAAATCGGTGGATTTTAAGACCGATTTAAAAAATAATTTATTAAATAACTTCTTAAATCGGTGGATTTGAAAACCGATTTAAAATCCCATTCATTAATTAAGGAAATGAATTAAATAACTTCTTAAATCGGTGGAAATAAAACCGATTTAAAATCTAATTTATTAATTTTTTTATTATTATTTTTGAGTGGCTTTTTAAATCGGTGGATTTAAGAACCGATTTAAAATCTCATTCATTAATTATTTTTTATTATTATTTTTTAAATCGGTTGGAAATATACCCGATTTAAAAACCCTTTTACTAATTTTTTTTAATTTTTTACATCGGTGGATTGATTGGCCCGATGTAATAGATGTTATAAAACTTTTTTTTTATTAATTACGATACTGCCACCGTGTTTATATTTTTAGATTTTACATTGGTTCGAGTGAATACCCGATGTAAAATAATTTTCCCAAATGTCTTTTTTCTAGTAGTGTATATATATATATATATATATATATATATATATATATATATATATATATATATATATATATATATATATATATATATATATATATATATAAAATAAAGAAATTTCAATTTTTTTTATATTTTAAGGACGGTAACATAAAATTCAAAATGTACAAAACCATAAAGCTGAGATCTCTTTGCCTTTTCTGACACTTTTGCTATTAAATAATATACTCAAAGTAGGGTAACCATATAAAACCCGGAGCAAAAAGTTACGCTTTATGTTCATACAGAGTTAAACTGCCTCTAAGAGACCTCAAAAAGGATTTGGTTGAAGTTCAATTTTTAATCTTTTAGTGGTAGTAGTTGTTGTTGTTACTCTAATACTAGTGTTTATCTTTACTCTTTTTTTATGACAGATATATTATGTGACATGGCAAAGCTTTTCAACCCTTCAAATAGTTTATTTTATACCACAAAGATTTTGTGATGTTTCAAAATCAAGATATATATTAGTTTTGTGTTGTGTGAGTGCTGATTTATGTTATTTATTTATCTACCAATATATATATTACACAACTGAGTTTGAGTTTTCAGAAGAACCATATTCAGAGAACAAAAATGGCACCACTTTGTACAAGAAGTAGAATGAAGCTGCAAAAAGCAATGGTTGAAGATAGAAAGCAGAAAAGGACTTATTGTGAGTTTGCTACAGAAGTTATTAGTACTTCTTCTGCTTCTTCGGTTGAAAGCACAGAACTTGTTGTGAGTGATCTTAAGAAGGATGAAGATACTGAGAAAAATGTAATATGTTGTACACCGAAAGCTAAAAGGTTCAGAATACCTCAAGTGTTGACATGCCCACCGGCACCTAAGAAGAGAAGAGTTACTACTTCAACCGGAGTATGTTTATCCATTAATAGATCACCAATAACTTTATTTTCTTCACCTGATATAGACCATTTCTTCTTTTCTGCACTTAAAAATGTATCAGTATAAAGTTTAGTATTACTAGTATAGTTTTATGAATTAGTTCAGTAACTTCAGTTTATAATAATGCTTTCAAGTTACAGGTTTCATGGTCATGTATGCATATGAAGATTTTTGTTACAAATTCTCTCATTATATTAGTCATGTCTTATGGCTTTTGGGTTTTTATAACATACTTATATTCTTGTTAGAATTTTTATTTTGTAAAATCTATGTCATTTTCGTACAACACATATCATTAGAAATAACACTATTTTCATTCCCATGTTCCACATACACACCATATGGTAGTTACCTTTCTATATTTCCAGCCTGAGATGAACGTCCCGAACATTAAAAAGTGGGATATACTTTTTGCTATCCACTCAAACATGATTCCAAATTGTCGGCAATTTCATTTAGATGTTTTTCTCTATTAGTTGTTGATTCACTAATGCAGATTGATTTGATGTTAAGAGTTTTGCATCCATAATATATGATATCAACTTATATTTATTAGTGGGATAATTCTCAACTTATAAATAGATTTTATAGTGTTGTTATTCAGCTACTTAAAATCTTTATTAATTTAAATAAATTATGTAGTTGTTGATAGACAATGTGGGCGTTTGATTTACGGTATAAAAAATTAATCTCATAAATAGATTTTTCAAACATAATATTTTTAGGAATAAGTTTTTATAAAAGGTATTTGGATAATATCTTAAAATCTCATAAATCTTTTACTTTTAAATTCTTTTTAATTAATAATATATTATAATTATAGATAAAAAATAATTATAAAAATGAAATAGTGTGTAGTAATAAGGTGATATCTATAAAATTTTCACCAAAATAACCACATTATACCCCCTAATATCCAATTTACCCCACTTTTCCTCTTATTTACCAATCTACCCATGTTTCTGATTTTTTTTTTTAATACAAGGGGGCGCCATTGGGCCTGACTCCTCCCTTATAATTTGTAGGGGGACGCCATCCAGGATAGAGGCACCCTATAAATTATAAAGGGGGGGCCATACCCTTTGGCTCCTCCCTTAAATGACTTAAAGGGGGACGCCATCCCCTATGGAGCTCCCTTTAACGAAATTTATTTTTTAAATACACTATAATTAAAATAATTAAAATATAATATTATTTTATTCCAAATTTTTTTTTATAAATAGTTGGACTTGTTGTTAACATTGTTTCATCCAAATTTAGAAGAGTGAGTCATGTACCTTAGAAGATATGGGCATGTAATTTTTTCGAGGACGAAGCCTCCGACTTAGAAAAGTTGATATAAATATTAAATTCCACTGTTACACAATTTTTAATGACCAAATTAAATCTACCTAGAACTTGTTCCAACATTTGGACAGTTTTTCCTCGTATGCCCGGGAAGACGACATATTCCGCACAATCTTTCCATTTTCTCAGTTGTATCAATTTCAGTTGTAATTCACGTGCTTTTGGGGCGACCCTTTTTGTTTCTTCTCATATTTTCGTTGTGGTAGATTGTGTCTCCATGATAGGTTGGCCAATAGTCCTCACTAGCTATCACTGGAAAACTGTTACTGTAGATACCGAATAAGTTCACGACCTTGTAAACTTCTGATAGCTGCAAGAATGGATCCTGACGAGCAGTTGAACATGCGACAATGACATGTGAACAAGGCATGCAGAAGGTTTGAAACTTTCCGCAGTCGCACCAATTTTTATGAAGTTCCACCCTGTAGTGTCCCATTGGCCGACCCTCGTTGTGATCCATTGTCTCATCAACAATGAAGCTGTAATCGTGACGATCAAATGGTCTAACTCGATGTGAGGCCGCCTTAGAAGTTTCATCCCTCATATACTTCATGCTTGATTCGCTGAATATTTGCCCTGATTGCAAGTGGAAACGCTGTTCACTCTATGTACTTACCTTTATTAGAAGATGTAAATAAAATAAAAACATATAGTTAGGGGTCCGCAACACTAGCGCACCTATATCGGTCTTTATGTAACAACTCAATAGCAAATTCGGGAAACTGGACCGGATGTGGTGTTCTTCTTCAAGCATGGGGTTGGTCAAGAATGACCAATCTAGCACCTATTCAACAAAATAATTTTGAATTCCCATTCGCTAAAAGGTAATTATTTTTCCCAATTCTCACTTATCTATCATAGTATTTCAATTAATTAATCATATTATTAATAAATGTTTTCTTTTCGATTTGTATGTGGTCTTCGCTTGGAATGAATTATGACAACTGTCCACATTACAGTATCACGCAGTACAAAAATCTTATTGATCACTTGGGTCAAGATGATGTACACTCACAAACCTAACTATTTATGTTATACTCTACTTGAATATTATTAGAAAATACTTAATATTATTTTTTTCCTCCTACAGTTCATTTGGCGGCCGCATCTTGGTCTAGAAGCCTTTCATGAAGTTGAACGACAAGACTCTGCGGTGTGGAGTGCAAAACTGCCGATTATCAACTTCACCACCGTGGAAATGCACAACAATGATCGTGTGAAACTTCAATTTGGAATGCTTCAAGATATTCCATGTCCGCCAAAGTGCATCCCCGACAAATATCACACCGGTAAAGTCTCCGACCAATGGGAATATAATCTGTGGACCAAGTATGGAAAACATGAGTGTCGTGAATGGAGGCATCGCAACAACTATGTTTTGTCCGACACTGTGTTTCCATACGAGATGAAACAATCAATACAATACATGACTTGATATAGGTCTGTATCAATTGGTTTTATTTCACATCCAAGGTATCTTGTTGACCCACGCCAACAAGATTCATCATCAAGGCCCCAACAACCAACCCAACCCTATTTCCAACCGCCAACACAACCCCATTTCCAACCGCCAACTCAACCTCATTGCCAACCATCAACCCAATACCATTTCCAACCGCCAACCCAACCTCATTTCCAACCATCAACCCAACCCCATTTCCAACCACCATCCCAACCCCATTTCCAACCGCCAACCCAATCCTATTTTCAACCCCCACTCACACAATCACAACAATATGAACATACCCCTAACCAATTCACTCCATTCACACAAACTTATTCACAATCCACACAATACCACACATACTCCAGGGATACTACAAACCAAATAAACACCCAGTTTCAAACACCCAATCAACCCATACCCACCCAATCATTTACACCCATCCCACCCTACGATCAGGCAGGCTATCATCCTGACATTGCCTCATCCAGCCAATCACCCCAAAATAATTATGAAGGCATGGGCAACCCTTTTGATTTGGATGACTTTACGGATATGGATCCGTCTTCATGGGCCGAAGTGATGCAATTGCTTGAAGACGACACAATGGACCCGACTCCACAACAAAGACCACAAAGAAACGTACGTGATCGGGGATGCGGTACGGGCGAACATTTAAACCGACCACGGCGTAGAAACTAGTGTACAATATCTTTCATATGTACCCATTTGTGATTAAATAATTATTGTAATTATTATTTAATATTAAATTTATTAAATACAATTTGATTTTTATTTATTATTTGGAATTTATTAATGAAATTATTAATTATTATTTATTATTTATTTATTATTTGTAAAATATATAAAAATTATTCATAAATTATTATTATATAATTTTTATTTTTAAAATATTTTTTAATTATTATATATTATTTTTTAAATATTTTTAAACTAATTATATATTTAAAATTATTTTTAAAAATCAGATTTAAGGGAGGAGCCAAAGGATATGGCGCCCCCTTTATAATTTATAGGGTGCCTCCATCCTGGATGGCGCCCCCCTACAAATTATAAGGGAGGAGCCAAGCCCAATGGCGCCCCCTTGTATTAAAAAAAAAAAATCAGAAACATGGGTAGATTGGGAAATAAGAGGGAAAGTGGGGTAAATTGGATATTAGGGGGGTATAATGTGGTTATTTGGGTGAAAATTTCAATATTTCTTGTATTTTTCAACACCTTTTAAAATCAATTTCTCGTCTCTTGTTACGTGTGAACTGACGGCTAGTCTATGGTATAATATTTTACATTAGGCTAGGTTGGGTTGTGGTTCTTTCTAGAGATACTTAAAGGTTGTTTGAGGTTTTATATCCTTAGGACTAGGTCTAAAATTAGACTTGGCTCGACTATAATTTGAGATTTAGTAGTGTGATCCATTTGAAAAGTTAAGAACAATTATTCTTTTCAAATTTGTTATCATTTATATAAAAATTGATGGACAAGTGTTCTTCTCTTCTTTAAAGTGGTATTTAGGTAAGTTTTTTTTCCCTTCTTATCCCTTTTTATGAGTGGTTAAAAAACTATATCTTCTATATGGATTGATAGCAGCTTGAAGATTTGTCACTCTAACTTTGAGGATGAGTGTTTTTAAGGGTCACGAAGATTTATGATTTTAATTCATTTTTAGGTGATGGTCGAGTCTATTCTTTTCAATGAAACGGGTCTTAGTTCCTCTTTTTTTTTTACGGTTGTTTGTGTTTTTTATTCCTTTATTGTGTTTTGTTTTATTTTTACTCCTTGAAGAGCAAGGTATCTTTGATTTTATGTTTGTCTCTTTGTTTCTTTGAATAACTTTAGTTTTTAAAACTATAAGATCAACCGATATACAAATATTAACAAATTATATAGTTCTTGATAGACAAATATTAACATACTTCTAAATTATACTATGTATTATCAATATTATTTTTGTGGTAGTTTTTGCACCGCATTACAATTGTGTTAAAATTATTAACCATATATTCTTTTGATGACAATTGTGTCAAGCACAACATTATTAAATATTTAATTCATTATTTTAGAAAGATTAGATTTGATTTAGAAAGATAATATTTGATTTAGAAAGATTAGATTAGATATTTTTTGGAATTTTATAGTTTGGGCTTTGACTTTGGGTGCAAGCTAACCTAAATCTATAAATAGGGAGAAACCCTTATTTTGTAAGCATTTCATCTCATCATATTTTGTAATTCACAGTTTACAGTTGCAATTTGTT